TCCACTAGAAACTCAAAGTCACATTAGTGATCACTTGTGAGTAATAACTTAGACAAGCGTAGGTTTAAAGTTAACTGTCAGAGGTGTGTTTCTTTACAGGGCAACTCTTGAGTTACACAACAGAAAATAAAACAAGCTGTAAATGTGTTTGACTTCTGACTTTCATCTATAAATCTATTTAACCCAAACATTGCATCCTTATGCTAACGTGCAAGAACCAGAAAGCAAACACAACAGACACCATCACTGTGATGAAGAAGAGGAGGCAGTTCAAGGAAATAAAAAATAGCTGCATCTCCCATTTCTTAATGAGTTTAATCAATATCAGAAAATAACTGTTAAACCGTTATTCTTGTAACCAGCTTATATTAATTACCCATTCTATTTAGGGACTGATTAAATATAAATAGTAATTTGCCTGTGAATAATTGAGAATGGAAACTGGGTAACATTCAGGAATATATATGCACCCATCCCTTGGGTATTAAATAGTGCTCTATACAAGACTTGCTGACCTCTCCTAGATACAGGCTCCTGAGTGGTTTGGAATACTCTCTTAATGGAAGAAATCTGATCAACATCACAAACTGGACTGCTCTTTTCTTCTGTTACAGAGCACATGAGATGGAACTGATTGCTGGAGTCAAGAGCAGAAACTTCCCATGCCATCTCACAAACCATGTGAATGAAACCGTGTTTCAAAGCATGACTTGGATAAGGCTGTAATACTCGGTTCAGTTCAGTAAGCTGAGCTTTTTAAGTAAAAGCTGGGAATTACTAGCTTTACTGCCAAGGAAAAGTCCGAATGCTTTTAATTCTGCTGCCAGAAGTGGCTGTATTGGCAGGAAACTGGAGAGCTCCTGGCTGACTTTGTTGGAAACCTTGCAATGTTACAGAAACCACCAGCCACCCAGTCTGCTGCGTATGGGACGTGAACTGTTAATTCACTGCCATTATTACTGGTCAATTAGAGATGCACCCATGTGGCTGAGACCTTGATCTGTGTCTGTGCTGTGGAAGCTGACACATGCTCTCGCAGGCGCTTGCCAGTTCAGAACTGAGCTCCGTAGAGACCATCCTCTGCAGGGCTTTCACTGAGGACAATGAGTAGTTGGATTCCTTTCATAATATCTCGCTGGACCACTATGATCTCGCCAGAGGATTCCTGGGAAGCTGCCAAAAAGACAGCAAAACTTTCTTTTATTCCATTCAGAAGGAAAATAACCTGGGATTCTCTACGCACACCATACCAGCAGAGCTCTTTCAGTATGTGCCCCCAATCTTTTTAGCTTTAAATCCAGGGTTAAGATGTTGGAATGTACATTGTTCAAAGATCCTCCTGAACAAAAAGCTTCTAATACTGTAAAAGCCTGAAAGCCTTAGTTTCATCTGTTCCTGTGCTTGGTTCTATGGAAGCAGCAATACGTCGAGTGACTTGGAGTGGGTCTTGAAAGTCTGGCAGTGGAAGAGGACATTCACGGTGTTGAAAGACTGCTTGAAAGAACTGAGCTCATTTGGAAGTGAATAATGCGGGTTCAACTCTATAAACCCTGGAAGTTTCTAAAGCCCCTGCTGTTTGCTTTTTTTTTTTTTTCCTTTGCTAAACTTACTTTTCCTTTGAGAATACTAAAACTGCATATCTTTATTTTCCTCTGGTTAAAAAAAAATGGCTTTTGGATACTGTAATCCTGAGCATAAAATCAGTATACATCTTATTTTAATTGCTTTCCAGCCTTACTTGGGACAAAAAGATTTATGCTTCTGCAATTTACTGATCTGTTCCTACCCAATGCCAGCCCAGGAAGCAGCCTGGAAAACCTGAGAGGTATGTTATTGTCTAAAGCCCAGGGGAACAGTAAGAACCATTACGACCCCACAGGGAGAATGGCAGCTGGTGTTAGGTGGTGGCTTTTTCTTGGTTCTCAACATGTTCCTGTCAGGCCTCTTTCCTCTTAGACATGAAGTGTTTCGGTAATTCCAATTTATGGCATTAAGGAGTGTCTGAGTTCAAACATGCTGTGTGGATTGGTCACTGTGAGCAAGGCTCTCAGGTCTCCTTCTACAACTCCTGGCACTAATGCTCTTACAGCACCTTCTAGTGACTTATCTTTGTAAAGTTGGAATTGTTCTTCCTGTAAAAAGCCTTGTAGGCATGATACTAACGGTAATGTGCTGGAAAAGCTGGATGTCAGCTGCTATCAGCATGACTTTACTGAGGCTGGCAAAACTCTTCACCTTTCCCCTTTCCTTGCAAGCTCTCTTAATGAATCTGCTGTGTGTGGACCAGAGAAGCGGCGAGTCTGCTGAGACTGTCAAAAGGATTGTCAATAATTTAAGAGCCACCTTTTTGAATGCGTGTTGGAGGCAGGAATTTCTTGAAGAGTATTTCTCCCTCCCCCTGGAAATGACTGTTGTGCACTGTCACCTCATGTGCACACATAGTATGTATACAAAGGGGAGGCATTTATTTTTTTTAACATTTCAATAGTTTTCACTAATCTACTGAGTCAGAGTCAAGGAAACTAGAACTGGCACAGAAATGTTTGAAAGCTGGCAAACTAGCATCCTTGAGGAATTACAGTAGGCATATACAGTGATCTCTTACCTTTATTTCACCATCACCTCCCCCCAAGCTGTATGCATAACTCGTTTTTCTTACCTGTTGTATTTTCTTCTTCTCTTCTCGGCTCCAAATGGTGGGAAGGTTCACTTTGCTACAGTCAGTACAGATAAGAGGGAAATATCTTTCCTTTAGCTGCAGGCCTCTAATTAGCCCCAGGGCTTCCATGGGACATCGAAACAGCTTTTTCCTTCACATGCTGATCAGAAGCCCCTTCACTGCAAGGCTGGTTATCAGGGTAGGGAATTTTTTACAAGCCAAGTAGTCCAATGCTTGCCTTACCCCACAGATAACCACAGATGTGGGTGCTAGGAATACCTGTCTTCATTAGAAGTTGGGGATGCATTGCTGGCACAAAGCAAGAGGCTGTTTCATGACTGCACTGAGCACAATGACATTCCAGTCTGATAGCGTGTCAATGTTTGATCTGCTGCTCGTATTTGAAGGTGTGGCTTGGGTAGGTTCTGCTTGATTGGGACATAAACAGGTTTACTGCCAGATATGTTTGTTGATACGGAGTTAGTAACTCAAGGTTTTGGGGAAGTTTTACATTGTGGGTGTTTTTCCAGCACTTCTAGAAGAAGTCTGATATAGAGAGGATACAGATTTTAGCAGGCTCTAAACTTATATACTTTCTCTTGATATTATATATTTGTTTACCCATTTAGATGTCCATTATCTAGAACGCTGTGAAGCCTCCAGCATAAGCAAGAGGTCAAAAAATGGCCAGTGACCTTTCAGCAAAACATCCTTCCAGAGTTTCACAGCTACTTTTGAGAGCAGTTTGTGCATTCAGGGTTATCCACAAAGCTTTAGAAATAAGCTTTAATGCCAGAATGGGCTTCTTGCTCTAGGAGGAAGAGGAATTTCTTCAGTGTGAGGTAAAAGGGGATGTCCTTTTGCAGAGCAGTAGAGCTGGCTGGAGAATTGTGTCAAGTGCAGCCACCAGGCTCGGAACTGGCATGGAAATCCTTGCTTTGCTCAGTGTCCATTTTTACAAATCTGTATGTTACTGCCTTGATAGTGTAGGTTGAAGCTCAATCCAGAGTCCTGTCTTTGTGAAATACACTCACGTCAATACTCAGAGTGTGTTGTCTTTTAAACTTCAGCCTAGAGGCCACTTACATTTTAAATTAATTCTATCCTTAATTGAACTTTGAACAGAGGTCATGAAACCTGAAGTTTCACAGTTATGTTTAAGTCTTACATTGTCTTTAGGTTATAGCTTCCAGTGAAGCTACAGGTGAGGCCTCTGGAAGTTCTCAGCCTGGTGTGTGCAAGCTTAAAGAAAGGTAACGTGATGTGTCTTTTATTAACAGAAATGACTCAGTCCTTCAAACACTATAAAACAAGAATTTTACAATTCAGATTAAGTTGATGATTGAGAGACTAAAGGAACTATACTAGCATAAGAATAGAGAAACTACATTAAATTAAGCTAAGAGCAGTATTTCAAGATCACCACTGCTTAAACATCAGCAGTACGGTGACACACAAGTGGAGAGAATTAAATGAAGTTCAAAAAGCTGAACAAAGCCAGACTAGAGATAAAGCCCACAGAAAACTAACTAAAGCCACAGAAGAAAAGCAAACCAAGAACTTCCTTGTCTGTCCTACAAAGCTGATCATAACCAGATGATAACCCAGGATAAGGGGGCTGCGGCGTTGCCTGGTGACTGTCTTGAAACGATGACTCCCTCTGACACTACAAGGGAGCAGGTCACGCTCATGGCTGATGGTCATGTCTTTTGCATCCTAATATCTCCACACAGAGCTGTTACTAAGGAAGTGCCAGAGGAAGCAACAGGGACAGCTTTGGCAGCAAGAACTCGGTGTGAATGTAGGGATATTCTTTTTGCTTTTTCCACATAGTCCTAGATGTTGCAAGTGACCAACTGGAAAGAACTGCCCAGAATGACAGTTTTTTTGGAAACTGCTGCTTCACATTATATTTCTCAGTAAAGCAATGCCTTTCTGTGGGCACATGAGAACATTTGTATATCTATAAATATTTAAAACCCCTCTGATCTGCTGTTAAGACTTCCTGTGCTCAAAATGACTTACCAGCAGACTTGTTTCTACCTGCTCCAGAACTGTAAAGGATAGGTATTCTCAAAATCCTCCTGAGCTCTGTGCCTGTGGCTGTACACTCCAGTCAATCTGTACGTCTGACATCTTGATAAAGACTTGAAGAAAACTCCAGTTTCACTTCAATTGCCTCCTTGTCATGGGAAGGAGCTGAATGGGAGGTCAGAGGGAGTCAGCGTGGTAAACCGTCCTAGAAAAGGACTTTCAAGATTTCTTACAAGAGAAGCCTTTGATTCAAAGCAAAACTTTGTGCCTTTCTCAAACATTTGTGCACACCAAGGAACAGGTCTCCCATCCTTGTTTCAGCAAGATGGGCTGTCATGGTTTAACCCCAGCCAGAAAGTGAGCATCACACAGCCACTCACTCACTCCTCCCAGCTGGGATGGGGGCAGAGAGTCAGAAGAGTAAAAGTGAGAGAACTCATGGGTTGAGATAAAGACAGTTTCACAGGTAAAGCAAAAGCCCTGTGCACAAGCAAAGAAAAACAAGGAATTCATTCACTGCTTTTCCCACCTGTGAGAAGCAGAGAAGTCCTTGACTCTGTGTAAAGGCTGCTCAGCGCTAATGAAAACATCTGTGCATCATCAACACTGTTTTCAGCACAAACCCAAAACATAGCCCCGTACTTGCTGCTGTGAAGAAAATTAACTATCCCAGCCAAAATCAGCACGTGGTCTTAATGACCATCTCTAAGACCTTTTCAGTCACATTTTATGTCTACGGTTAAACGGTTATTTCTACATCGCATATTTTCTGTACTTGGAATTTCACAAATTGGTTTTCTATCACCTCGGGATATTTTCTATCTAAATATTGATTTCATTTCTATTACCAAGATTAGCTGACATGCCAGATTGAAAAAAAAAAAAAAAAAAAGCAATCACAGCTGGCCAGTGCTGCATATCTGTAGAAAAGTCTTAGAATTCATTTTTAAGCTAAAAGGTAAGAAGAAGTGCTAACTCAGCAATTCTTCTGGTTTTCTAAGAGGTAGCAGGCATCCCATGATGTTAAAATACCACTTTTTTCCAGTCCTTATTGCTGCTTTTGAAGATCACTACAAACAGGCACAGCTCTCTGAGGAGTTCTTCTGCCAAGTATTCAGCACAAATTGACAGGATCTTAAGCCTTAATAGCTGCTCTAGGGGAGAGAAGCTGCGCTGGGAATAGAATTGCTTTGGGGCAGCAAAATTCAGAATTTTGGAGAAGGATTTGCAAATTTATACATAACTTCAAGGGTATCCATTTGGTTCCCAGCTCGTTTCTTGACATGGGGAAAAATAGTGCAGGGAGGGCTTTGGAGTGGTGTTGCCCTCCCTCTCTGATTGACTGATCATTCCCTTCCTTTCTGACAGATGAATGAAGAGCATCTTTGTACAGCGGTGAGAAGTCTGTAGCTGGATAAAAATGAGGTGAGTGAGAAGTTAATTTACAAACTGTGGAATAACCACCTTCCCATCATTAGTGCATTTTTTTCTTCTCCGCTAATGGAGTCAGAGCCATAGCAGCATATTCCCTATAAGATTCTTTCCTTTATCCACATACTGGACAGTTGTGTTTCCATAACTTTGGAAGAACTTCCTATAACCTGAACTGAGAAGAAAGTCCTCAGTCATGGATCTCCTGATGGGTCCCATCAGTGTGGGATACTGCCCAGCAGTTGTTTCTTACATGTGTTCAGCTCGTAGGAAAATTACTGCATTACTTTTTTTTTTTTTCTTTTTTGCATACTGGTGGGATATTTGGGGCTGTTGCAATTACTTATCTTAGCATTGCACAAGAAGGTGGTCTCCTGTAAAAAGAATATTAAGGTTTCTGAATCAGTAGCATCTGTACAGACGTAAGGACTAGTTAATATGTAGCTAACCTGTGGAATAGCAGTGTTTGCATCTGGCCAAACTGCAGCTCTTCTGAAACAACCCAGCCAGGAATACATAGGAACTACTAGATCTATATCAAGTAGTGTATGATAAGTCCTGGGTCTAATTTGCAGCAGATTTTAAGAGAGATAATTAATGGGAAAAGCTCTTGGTCTGTGTTATTTTTACTAATGTCTTTGACCAAAATGTTAATGGAATGTTAATATTGTTTAGGAGCCTTAGGTAGTGATTCATCTGAATACAGCTGAATAATGCATCTTTTGCAGGAGTTTCCAGTTGAGGCACTCGATGCTGGTATGTCTGGAATCCCTCCACTCCCTCTGCACAGTGAATGCCAGAGCTCTCAAGGTTTGAAGGACAAATAATTTTACTCCGCACCCTTTTCTGTAACCTGGCAAATACAGTGCATCCATTGTGCTTGCTAAGGGATCCAGGCTAACAACACTGTGTTTGTTTCTGGGTTTCTACACTTCTGGGGTTTTTTCCAGAAATGCTCAAATGAAGGGTAAATCTTTTGTGCTGTGTTATCTGTGAATGATTTTTTTTTTTTTTTTTTCATTTCTAAGTTAAAAGCCAAATTGGACTTCTTTGTCCAGCAAAATCTTGCTGCCTTGGTGACACTTTCATCCTGGGAACAGCTGTCAGCTTCCCTGTGCAATGAGTAAGGCTAAGCTCCCTGTTAGGTACCCTCATATTGTAGTGAAATTGTGATATAATGGGAATTAGGGGGAGACACAGTGCTAGTGTACCCAGACATCCCTTCTCTACTGCAGAAAAATGATGGAGCTGGGAGAGGAAAAGAGAAGAGCAGTCTAATATTCCTTTACCATATTCTAAAAGGAAGGCTTAAACCCTTAATGATACTTTAAATAATTGCTAGAGATGTCATCTGGGACTCCCTTACATGTGAACCACTAGTCTGTGCTGTGCCCCAATGAGCCTAAAATGAATATATACTACCACTTATATAGGAGAGTCTTGGAAACTCAAAATAGTGCAGCAGATTCTTGTGTGAATGTGTCCTTGAAGCTGAGGCGGTCAGCACTGTCTGCTGGCATCGTGTGGAGCTCCAAGCAAGGCAGCGTGGGGACAGAGGCCCCCAGTTGCTTATGTGCAGGTTTAAGGAGGAAGAGAGAATAAAAAAATCTTGCACAGGAGGTCACCAAAACTTTTTCAGCTTCGGAAATCAGTTTTATTGTGAAATAACAGACAAACTGGAGAAGGTGACATGACATGTCTGCCCTCAAAAAGTAGATTTCTGACTGTGAGACTTCCATGTGACTCTGGAAATAACAAAAGCCAGACAGATGGAGTGTATTTCCCTCTTGAAAGAGACAGGTTTTGCATTCTTCTGTGATACAGGCTTTCCTCGCACTGCTCCTTGGGAAGTGCAATCAAGTGATTATTAATTTCTGCATCAAGATACAAGGTAGTTTCGGGATCCTGAAATGTAGCAAACAAAAATCTAAATTATGTTTTAATTTCAGAGATGAGGAAAGGGACAATAACTCAACTTCTGCTTGGATCCTGCATCGTCAGCTGTAAATCCTTGCACTTAGGTGTGTCATCTTCAAAGAGCCTTAACTGGTGCCTTGCATTGTTTCTGACAGCAGAAGACCTTCGGGTCAGAGGGATGATGCTTGCTCACTAGCAGGCCACCGGGTCAGAGGAGACCTGAGCACAGAGAGAGGGTAAGGTCAACTTGATTAGTGTCTCCTTCAGATGAACGATAAGTGAGAACAACCAAAGGAGTAGGCATTGCAGAACCCCTTGGTGCACATGACTATGTAAGTGGAGCTCAAACAGACCCTTCCCCAGCCTCTCCTCCCCAGTGGGCACAAGGCAATGGGTTGATGCAACGGGTGAAGCTTCGTAAGGCAACGCTTCTTGCCATCCTGGCAGTCATGTCTTCTGTGGCACAAGCTCTTCTCTTGCCTTCTGTGACTGCCAAAAGCTCGGCCCTCAATTCACCTGCTGAGTCACGTCGCTTTTAAAAGCTCTTCAAACGAATATTTAAAATCTTTATATCACAGAGTCAAGAAAGAATCTTTTTACTATCGGTTTTATTAGATGTCAATGCCTCACAGACACCACTAGGGGGAGTAGTTTGTCTAACTTTCAAGTTGATATGAGGCTGGCTCTGGGAAGCTGGATACTAAACATTTTTGAGGGAGTAAGAAGTGTATTTAATTCTAGTTACAAGAACGCTGGATAAACCAGGCCTCCATTTCCAGAAACTATGTTTAAAACTTAATACTAATTATAGGGGAGAAATTCAACTTCTTTGATCCTTAAATAGTGTTCTGCGACTTGAAGTCTTCAGTAGCTTAACAACAAATTAAACGCAAACCTCCCATGGAACCATGATTTTTTTTTGGAAAATATATAATTGGCTGTCCTTCCCTTCTTTCCTCCCTCCTTACCTCCGTAATTTCTTTCCTTCCTTCCTCCTTTCCTTCTTTCCTTCCTCCTTACCTTTTTCCTTTCTTCCTTTCCTTCCTTCCTCCTTCCCTCCTTACCTCCTTGATTTCTCTCCTTCCTTCCTCCTTCCCTGCCTCCCTTCCTCCTTGCCTCCTTCCTCAGCATCAACTGCTTTGCTCTGCAGAGGTTGTACTACTTGCAGGTGTAGACATGGCCACAGATACCAGAAGGCAAGTGAATTTCTTGAAACCATCTTTAAATTGTCTTTAAAAAGTCTTTAAATTGTCAAGCCAAAACTGCACAATTATACAGGCTCTGCATAAGGGCTAAAAACCTGGACAAATCCTACCTATGGCTTCCTGTCCTCCAACAGTATCTGTGTAAGCCTGTGTTAGCCATAGCTCTGGGAAGGGCCTTGAAAGCTTCTCCTCCTGCAATTTGTGGAAAAAGCAGTTCTGTAGATTTTTGTTCTCTTGATAAATGTCTTCCTAAAATTACTGAGCTTAAAGGTATTGATTTTTTTTTTTTTTTTAATGAGAATGCAGGAGCCCCATTAGCTGTGCCCCTAGAGTGAAACCTAAGACTTCACAGCGTCCTTTGCAGGATTATTTTGATGCCTGCTCTACAGACCTTCCCAAAGCATTTCCCACAGGTGATGCCGGGGCTCATTGCACCGAGAAGGTGGATGCAATCCTGCAGTTACTTGCCGGGTAGCATAGTATCACCTTAATTTTACTGGTAAGAGTGACTTGCCTGGGCTCACAGAGGAACAAAATGATGATCTCGATCTCGTCACAATTCTCAGCAGAGTACTCTCTGTCTGACACCTTGAGCCGAAGGGAAGAAATTGAATCAGCTGTAAACCAGTGTAGCCTGTCAGCTCTTATGCCTGCATTCCCTGTGCCTTTTGAGCTTACTTGATTGCCTTTTAGGGACATGGCTTTTAAATTCAATTAACGTGCTATTACTCTTCCTCTATCTGACATGGAAAAGCTTGAATTAATTGAGTATTGACTAAGTGAACTAGTTACAGCGAGGCGTTGCTGTCATCTGACAGCAATGCTCATTGGTGTGTGCAAGAGCTGAGGAAGAACCTGGGGCTCACTGGGCTTGTGGGCTGTGACCCCCTGCACCTGGGGGACCTGCAGGCAAGAAACTGGGAGGGCACAGAGGAAAATGGGATAAGAGGAAATGGGCGCAGACTTGTACATAGGAAGTTCCACCTAAACAGGAGGAGGAACTTCTTGACTTTGAGGGTGGCAGAGCCCTGGAACAGGCTGCCCAGAGAGGTGGTGGAGTCTCCGTCTCTGGAGACATTCCAAACCCGCCTTGACACATTCGTGTCCCACTGCTCCGGATGGACCTGCTATGGCAGGGGGTTGGACTAGATGATCTCCAGAGGTCCCTTCCAACCCTGTATCATTCTGTGATTCTGTGACAGAGCCAGGAGAACTGGCCCAAACTGGCCAAATACCAGGAAAGGAGGAAGCAGCGTTGATGACTGTAAGTAGACAACTGCCTTTGGGCTGTGTATTCCCAATTAATTCTCATGGCCGCCTGCACTGGAGCAGTTCCTGTGATATCCTATTTCTCTGGATAAACAGCTTTGACTCGGGGTCTGTAAACCTGAAGGAAAAGTACAATTTGATATTTAATTATGGGTTTCCATGTAGGCTACTACAGAAGCAATCCCAGAATGATATTTGGTTGGAAGGGACCTCTGGAGATCATCTAGTCCAACCCCCTACATTTTAGCTAAGAGGGAGCCCTGTGTGGTTGATGTGGAAGGATTATATGTATTAACTTAATGCACTAATTTCCCTCATGATGACTTGTATTTATACATGTATATATAGCATATATGCATACTTCTGGCTTTTGTATATTCACATATATGTTTGCGTGTATATATCTGGACTTATATATCCTGAATATATGTTTTGCATATACACATACATCCATATACATGTTTTGCCTATTCATATACATATATATTGTATATATGAGCCTATATTTAGGTACATATACCTATGTATGCACGTTTCTACATTGGTATGTATGTATATTATACATAGGTATGTATGTATATTATACATATGTATGTATGTGTATTTATGCATGCCTACCTATACCAACAGACATCCACATACATGGTTTGAATGCACGTATAGATGTTTATGTACCCATATATTGCTGTGTCTCTATATGTGTTTGTTTTGCAGGTACACACACATATATATTCTGTATCAACATGCGTTTCTGTACCCTGTGTGGTAAGTAAGCCCGTGTTTTGCCCCCCCAGATCTGTAGCTATAGGTGCAGACACCGCTCCCCACAGGGGCCCCGAGCCCAGGCCGCGCCGCGTCCCCATGGCAACGGCCGGCGGCTGGGCCCGGCTGCGGGCCGCCATAGCCCTTCGCCGCCGGGCCGGGCCGCGGGGAACCGGGGGGGGACCGGGCCGAGGGGGGCAGGTGAGGGCAGGACGTGTTGGGGTTACCCGGGGGCGGCGGGAACGCTGTGAGGCCGGGAGGGGGGTGCCCCGAGCAACGGCGGGGCCGAGGGGCAGCGGGCAGCCTGTGGTACGGGGGTGAGGGGGACACCCCGCCTCGTGAGGAGAAACGTTGGAAGGGGGCACCCCGAGGAGAAACGTTGGAAGGGGGCACCCCGAGGAGAAACGTTGGAAGGGGGAACCTGAAATGTTACGTTAAACCTGGGCGTTTTGTCCAGGATGTCTGGTGTCCAGGCAGACAGCATCGTCAAGAAAATCGTTCGCACAATCGGCCAAGAATGCACTGCCCGGGGACAAACCGTTTCTGAAACCTTGGTGGCGTTCATGGTAAGCACAAAGGAAATGTTTAGGGTGGGGTTTTTTTAATTATTATTTAGTTAGGTTGTTTTTCTAATAAAGTTCAAATTCTGTTGCAATCCATAAAATATTAAGACAAATATGTATTGATAGAATCACAGAATCATAGAATGGTTGGAGTTGGAAGGGACCTGAAAGATCATGGAGTTCCAACCCCCTGCCCTGGGCAGGGACACCTCCCACCAGACCAGATTCCTCAAAGCCCCATCCAGCCTGTCCTTGAACCCCTCCAGGGATGGGGCAGCCACAGCGTCTTGGACAACCTGTTCCAGCGTCTCACCACCCTCACAGTAGAGAATTTCTTCCTAATATCTCATCTAAATCTCCCCCTTTCAGTTTAAAATGATTATCCCTTGTCCTATGGCTCCATTCGCTGATAAAGAGTCCCTCCCCATCTCTTCTGTAGCACCCTTCAGGGACTGGAAGGGGCTATAAGCTCTCCCCGGAGCCTTCTCTTCTCTAGGCCGAACAACCCCAGCTCCCTCAGCCTGTCTTCATAGGAGAGGTGCTCCAGCCCTGTCTAACATATAGATCAGGAGTTTCAAACCTGAATGCCCATAGCTTGGCAGTTGAAACCGGTTTTAAGGCTTTTGTGAGGCAGAGGCTTCGTTTTAGACATGGTGAATAGTTCATCCAAAGTCACTGACTGACACTGCTTAGCCTGAATAACGGGCAGTGAGGACATCAATCATTCCTTTAGTCTCAAAAGTCAATAAACTTCCCTGCCCAGACTGGGACAGCAGCAGCCGAGGCTTTCAGGGGTGACTTGAACTTTGAAATATCTCGGTTTCTGATTGCCCATATTGAGAAGTTTTAAAGGGTCATTCAGTGATACTCGATAGAGGGTTCTAAAAATGTCAAAAAGTATTTCATTCCTCTGAAATGCTATCTGTGTGAATGTAAGACCCTGAACAGGCTGCAGGCCCTGAGTCCTGGGAACTCTTTGAGCCCCGAGTCAGAGTTCTTCCTCAGTTTTCTTCTACAAGCAGATAAAGTGAAAAAGAGAAGTGTTCCCAAGTTTAAATAACATTTCTTCTCACTGTCATAAATGAACAAAAAAGGGCATGACGCATAAGTGAATGTTTATTGCAGCAGCCATATTTATTCTTTGATGTTTACTTTGTCCCTCTATTGTGATGGATTCTTTTGTTTGTTTTTCTCTTTAGGCAGGGCCAGGTAGTATAAATGGGCTGAATATTTGAAAAAGTAGGCTTGGATCCCACTTAAACTCAAAATGAAATGGAATCAATCTCAGTGTTGTCCTTGGTAGGCAACTATAAGTATCCTATTATTCTATCCTATTATATCCTATAATATAGTCTGAATCCATCTGCAAAGCTGTGTCTGAAGAAAGATGGAGCTCAGTTCTTTCTTTATTGATGGTGTAAGAACAGAAGCAGCTCTTGGTAAACCTTTATGTGAATGCAAATGATTCACAGCAGTACTGTTAGTCTGCCTTTTTTTTTTTTTTTTCCTGAAGGTGACACTGTAGCTTTATAAAATACATTGGGTTCAAAAGCAGTATTAATTAAATAAGCTTGGAAATTTTAATGAGTAAAAAACTTGCACAAATAGCCAGCAAGATACCCAGCCTGCATACCAGTTGCAAACATGCATATATTTCCCTGTATGCAGAACACTATTGTTTTTTTTATCCAAGTGGTAAGCGTTTATACTGATGCATATAACAGCCCCTGAGAAGTTTATAAACAACCATGATGGATTTTTATAAAATGTTACTCAGAAAAGTATTTTTCCGGGAAATTTCTAAAGGAGCTGAATTTAATTATTTCTCTGCAAAGTTTGCATCACAAATAGATATTTTTTTTCCTCTAAAGTCAAAGAACTGAAATTGAAACTGGCAGCACATTAAATCAACTAACTTTGTTTCATTATCAAAGATTGAAATGGAAAAAAAGAATAGTAAAGAAAGACTGACTGCATCTGAGATTTTTCAGAAAATAAAAGGTTAGTTGCAAATAGTGTATGTTGAGATGTAAATTAATAGCTTTCTTTCGGCAACCTCTAGGTGAAAGCTGTTGTTTTAGATCCAAGAAATGGCTTTAATGTGGATCAAGCCGTTATAAGAAAAGATGTGCAAAACCTTATCCAGGTAATTCTGACATGATATTGAGAGTCAATACTTAGCTAAGCGTTATTTGCTACCTGTTCCTGTAACTAAAATGCCATTTTATTTTTATATGAATACTTTCAAAATTTAGTGCTACTTTATTCTCTTGGTTCTATGAACTATATGTTTCCTCGTGTAAATAAATGCCTTATATTACAAATGCCTCATATATATAAATGCCTTATATAGAGAGAACGGTAGCGAGGGGGCTCTGCTGCTGTTGTGAAACCTGTAGCACAGTCACTGCCAGTTCCCCAGCAATGAGAAAGAACTCACTTCTCTGTCTCTCTTCCTAGCTCTGTGTTACCAGGCTGCTTGACACAACAAACCCATCCCTCAGCACAATTAAGATGCAAGTTTTCTTTGATATGAACTATGCAAACCGAGGTAATTTCAAATATATTTTCATAGAAGAAGTTGATGCCGAGTTTAGGATTTAATATCTGTCTCTCTGTAGGGCTAATAATGATTGCTGTTAAATGACTGCTGGCAGTGAAGCAGAATAAAAATCCCTGGTGAAATGTACAATATATGAGTATGGTGCTTCACTATTGATTCATTAGGGGAAAAAGTGTGCATTAAATTTCAGAGTACACTCATCTCTTCCTGTCTGAGAGATTTACTGAATGTAATATATTAGATGGCTTGAGAACAATTATGCTTTCAGGTGCAGTGGTAGCTGCCTGCAGCAAGAAAAACTCGTGCTGCACCTGTGTGTCTGAAAGAGAACCAGTACCCAGAACTGCCTGCACTCATGTATCTGAAAGAGAACTTGATATTTTATCAATATCCCTAATTGAGAGATATGAGCAGTTTTGAACAATCAGTTACAGTTTTAACCGAGTATGTTTTGGTCTCATCAGTGGGAACTTCATATGTTCTGAGAATGGGAATGTGGAAGAAAAATGAGATGGGGAAAATGTCTCTGCTGTAACTCACTGCAGATCTCAATGGGACAGTGAAGACTGGCTGGGACACAGAAGACACAGAACAAGAACAGACAAAAAATAAACATTTCTGTATGAGGAGGTCATGAAAATGGTTTCTTGTTAGCAAAGGTTAAAACCAAAAATTAGCATGACTAGGAAGCTGCTCCAAAGTCTTCTCGACTCAGTTAGCTCAGTAAGCTCAAGAATTCCAGTAAGATTCTGATTCAGAATTTGGGCATGTAACTTCAGGTGTGTATGAAATGTGTGTGTGTGTGTTGGGTCCTACTGCAGTCAGAGGAGTCCAGGTAGCCACAGACTTGCTGCTTAATTTGGCCTGAATAGTTCTATGGACTCTACTGATGGATGTTAATCATGCTAATTACTGTAGTTAATTACAATGGTATGGTACCCTGAACATCTCTTCCATGTATCTGTGCTTTAGAAACATTTAAGTTGGTGCTCTGACTGGGGAAATGAATTGCTCCCTCCGTATAAGCCAATTTCCAAAGAATTTAGATAGTGCTTTCTAACTGTTCTTCTTTCCTAGCTGAATTACTCAGCGAGCAGCACCGTGTTCTGGAGGGAAAGCTGGCTCCTGCGGTCAGAGACATCACAGATAGTCGTCCTCGGGTACAAGAATTGCAGAGTATGTACCAAAAAATCGTGAGCTACGTGCTGCTGAGCTCTGGCCTGGGACCAACAGATATTGAGGCTGTCAGGGAAGTAACAGGTCAGTGAAATCCCAGCTGTGAAACTGGGTTTTTCTTATTGGAAAATAAAATTTCACCTTCTCTTTGCTGATCTTTAAATACAGATGTGGTAAACTGTGATGAATGCTTACTACTCCAACTGTCTCCCATCAGCCTTGAAGTCTAAATTTGCCATGGGTTTCCTACTTTTTGCCGTTGTTCAGGAGAGGGTATTTTTGCTTGTTTTGTGATTTTCTTTTCTGTTCCCTCATATTGAGGGTTTTCTCACCCTTTGTAATGCAGCTGGCCTGCAGAGTGTATTCCCCCAGAGAGAAATGATTACTTTCATCTCACTCAGTAAGAAGAACAAAGAGCAAGAGCTGAAAAATCTTGCCAAGCTGGTCACAGGAATCCGTTTGTACAACAAGGAATGTGGGAAAGGAGGAAGCAGCATTGATGACTGTAAGTAGACAACTGCATTTGGGCTGTGTATTCCCAATGAATTCTTGTGGTCACCTTCTCTGGAGGAGCTCCAATAATATCCCATCTCTCTGGATAAACAGCTTTGACTCAGGGTCTGTAAACCTGAAGGAAAAGTACAATTTGATATTTAATTATGGGTTTCCATGGAGGCTACTACGTTTTAGCTAAGAGGGAGCCCTGTGTAGTTGATGTGGAAGGATCATTGTTAATACATCATATGTATTAACTTAATGCACTGATTTACCTCGTGATAACTTTTTCCCTGATCCCTTGCCATTAAGTGAATTCAATATGTAATGTTTACCTTTAAAAGCATTTAATTAAAATCTTGAAAGGGCACTGTCAATCCAATTACAATTTTCTGTTGGGTATGTGTAATGAGAAGTGATAAAATTTGCTGGTGTGTTATCTGAATTCTGATAATTTAGAGTAACCTCTCCTGATTCTTAACATGTTCTCGAAAATTTTGCATTTTAAATCCTCGTCAGCAGAAATGTTTTTATGAATATGCGTGGAGTATAGGAGCTCAGACTTCTTTGTCAAAAAGGTCTGCCAGCCCAGACTGGGAGGAAACTGGTAACTGAAAATTGTGCAGATTGCCTAAAGTCTCTCAGGAAACCCACGCCAGTAGTATCAACTGAACTGCATCTACTACAAAGCAAGTTTTCTCACAGTCCTTGACTTGACTGTTGATAATTCCCTCATCTATAAATCTGGCTGTTTATTAGATGATCTTTAAGGTCCCTTCCAACTCTAACCACTCCATGATTCCACTTGGAACCACTTGACTAGTAAGATACAGTGGTTGAATCTAGCATGCAAGCATCTGGAAATGCACGAATATAAGGACAAAATCTAGAAATTTTATTGAAAGTCTACTTTGCTCGAATACTGTGCTGTAATCTTTTGCTAATGATTGAAATATTTATTTTTATATGTCTTCTGTATAAATAGTGCCAGCCATTCTGAATGAATCCATTCCGTCAGCTACACAGACTGTGGATGAAAGACTTAATGCTTGCCACGGGCTGGCCCACCAGTACACAGCTCTGCTGGAATCTGCCCAGGGAGACCCACACAGATACGCACGGCTTAGTTCTTTTAAATTAAAAGAAGCACTGTTCAATGTGAGACAATACGAGGCCTTCCTTTGCATCCTTCTGGTGAGATACCATCATGTTATATCCTGTAGGTTTTTATTGCAGATGGAATGTATTCAAGTTACCTACTTGTGCAGGACAGAAATAGAAGAAAAATGATTCAGAAATAAATGAAATAAATTTAATCTCAATATATGAGGACCTACATCATCTGTCATGCTGAAGTTTGTACCTAACTTGCTGGGTTTGGTTACTGTCAGGTGAAAGACAAAATGGATTAATTGTTGGCTTCAATGTGACTGTGCTTCCATTTCAATTCTAGAGGTTTCTTTTTGTGGTTAATTTCATTAACAAAGGACTGAAAAAGCAGGACTTTCTCCATGTTTCCTTACTGCTCCTCACACTGCCCCAAAAAGCATGAGAGAAAAAATCTCCTTGTTCAATCCATACATCATCTCAATTTTCATCTGCAGACATCCCCAACACATATGGAGTCATCAGAAGTCTTTGAAAAATACAATTTAAATTCTTGAAACTTGTTTTGTTTAGGAAGACCTTTTCATTTGTATGTTGAAAAACCATGGGGTTTTATTAGTTTTTGCTCTATATCATAAAGCTTGGAAAAATATTTCTCCTTTACCTTTTTTTCAGTTCTCTTCATTGTAAAAACATAGAGGTTTTCTATAAAAATTTGTAGTATATGTTTGAGAGAAGCATCTTGTTTTTACACCTGAACACTTAGGAAAAAATGTAATTTGTGGAGAGTTAGGGTGCATTTTGTTCCTTAAAACAGTTGTCTGAAAATAGTTGAATGAAGAGGCCCAAATAAATACTTATTACTGAATACTAAATACTAAATAAATTGATTTTTAATGGCCATATTCCTTACCTGAAGTAAGTTCTCTTTGCAGTCTGATGCAATTACAAGTGCTGAAGAGGTTGAAAAGATAAATGTGCAGTTTGCAGCAACAATGGAGCAGTTGAAAAATACGGTGCAGAATAAGGTTTCCGTAGATGCCAAAGAAGTTTTTGTAAGTATTTTGAATGAAAAACCTATTTCTTCTTAATTATAAAAAACTCCTGAAGTATTACAGAATACTTCGCCAGTGTATTTTTGCATAGTTTGTGTTAAGAAAAAGGCTACATTATTTTCTATTATAACAGCATGTGTGATTTTTGAAGGGGCAACTAAACTAAAAGACTTGATCTCAAGTTAAAAGAAAAGGAAGGTACAAAAAGGGAGAGAAAAAAAATAATTAGTATTTTGCTATAAGTGTCTCAAGTGGGGGCTTAAGTGGCTGATAGGCTTGTTACCCTTTTCCCTAGAAGCTGTCAGCTGTTCTCTGCTTCCCTCCTAGATTTTCTTCTCTCTTCAGGTTGGTTAGTTGTTTTTCCTTTTCTGCTGAAGACAGAGTATGTAATGTCTTCTGATTCAAGGTCTTTTGCAGGTAGAGATATCCCTATTACAGCCCCATTTAAACAGTTCTTGATTTTGGCTAGCTGCTGAGAAGCTGGATCTTGCAGGAATGTAGAGAAGCAGGACATTCTGCTGTCTAAGAAGTACAGGATGAGGCCAATATATGTCGTAAACATTTGTTTTAGGAACCATAGTAGATTTCATTAATATCCTTTGTTTATTCTAGTAAGAATGACTTTGATCTTGCTGCTTTTCCTTTAGTTTCTCCCATTTTTGTAACCGTAACATTTCCACAGCGTTAGTGATGCAGGTGAATTCCAGAGCTGACTCTGTTGGCTGTTCTCATAGTAATGTTGTTAACATGCATAAAGTATAATGTTTTTAACCTACATTTCAGGTTTGTTGAATCTCTTCCCCTAAATGCTTGGTGTGTTTAGATGTAACAGGGTACATTTTATGTCACTGTCATTATAATCAAGCATTTATACACAAAGCTCGTAGGCTGCTTCTGTGTTGTGGTTAGAAGAAGCTTAACTGAAAAGTTAAATTACTGAGAAGAAAATTGGTTCTGTTTTAGCTGAAAGCAGGACATTCTGCGTGTGTGTACACCTGTATGTATTGTCAGTGAAGTGCTCAGGTCCAAGGATGGTCTCAGAGCAACACATTTGGGAAGGGCTTTGGAGTAAAATCTAGAAAAGTACCATCCTGATACCAACCAATGCTGGATTTCAGATAATTTTCTTTATTTTCTAGCCTCTCTTTATTGCACTTTCTAACCTCTGGAGCGGCTTTCAGGATGAGATACTGCTCCTGAGCTTCCTCACAAACATGACTAACAGTCTGCAGCAGTTCTCGGAAATCCAGTCACGGCTTCTTCCCAAGGAATTGCTGACATCTCTTCTGGAAGGAGTGACTGTGAAAAGTGATGAGGAAAGGATAAGAGAAACCATGGGTACTGGAAGTTATTACTTTTCTGTTTTCCTTCCTTTCCCAAGATGTTGTAGTATGAATTCTATTTGCAGAAGGTGCTACACATCGATTTTTTAATAATCAGAATTTACACAGTAAATTAAAATGAGTCATGTAGCTTGTGGATTTATTTTTCATGTAGCATAGTTTGGACTTTTACACCTAAAATTAAAATATAGCTACTAGATACAAACATACCTCATGAAAATGGCAGAACGATCAGAGAAGAATATTTCTACATTATTTCTTTTACATTTCTTAAGTTTGTTTATGTCTTTTTATACCTTTCAGAGATTCTGAAATGGAAGGTGGGGGGGATAAAAAAGCTAATTTAGTGATGCTTTGGCTACCAGAAGTATTTGTTTGTAAGAAGGTATCCATAGTAACCAAGTTGTACTCCAGGGGGTTTGTAATGCGTGAGTGGGTGAAAACAAGATAGAAGAGTAAGACATTACCTTCCTCTTCTTGCCCTCTTTTTCCAAAGAAAACTAACGCTACTAAAGAAGGACTGATTTTTCAGTAGGATCTCTCCTAAGGCAGGGCTAAAGTTTGGGGTTTGGGATCTTGGCACTGCAGGTCATCGTGCAAAGACCACAGTAATCCGGTCATCCTGTAACATTATTGTATTTTAAACATCAGATGTTTTGTTACTGAAATCCTTCCTTTCTTAAACCTTTTCTTAGGAACCAGAGTGAATGTTTCTGATTTCAAGAACCGGGAATGGCTTTTTCCAGAGACTACTGATAATTTTGATGAGTTGCTGATCCAGTACCACAGTTTCTGTGCACACGCGATCGGTGTGAAAGGCCTCACCCTCCCAGGTACTCTGTGCAGTTAGGTCTTTGCCTTACTTTATCTGTACACAAGTGCTAGTGAAAATGTAAAGAACATGTTCTGAATGCATCCTCTTATGTCAAAGCTGGAGTACTGTATTTTCACATTTGTAATTTTCACTCCAGATTTTTCCCCTGTTAAAGTCTTTTTCTTTTAAAAATACCCAAATAAACTGCCCTAAATAGAAGGTAGAAGGGTTTCAAGAGAAAGCAGGCACGAGAAAGCAGAGGCAGAAACAGGCTGGGATGGATTGATGTTTCCTCCTGCTATATGTGCATCTTTATAACCTACACTGCAGCTAAAGGCAGGCTTATTTATTGTGTTTTAATACAGGCATAGGAAAATGGTCGTTCCTTCTGTTTTGTGTATCTGTCTGTTGCAAACACACCCATTCATGACTACATCATATGTATTTTTAAACAGTGGTTATAAAGCACCAAAAATCTTCTCTGAAAAGAATGCAAAAGTACACTTGATTAAGTCAACTAATCATAGGAGATTTTTTGGTCTCTTCTAAGGTCATTTGTCTTGAAAACCTTATTTCAGCTACCCCATCAGTTCGTGTTTTCTGTCCCCCTATCCTTTATAGAACCTATCAATATAGATTTTATTTTTAAAACCCACAGGAGGTAAGAATAAAAATATTGCCATTACTTGGCAGTATTAAAAAATAGGTATTTTAACGGCAATGTGAATTCCTTACACTTATTTAATATTGCATATGAGAACAGCTACCCTGGGTTGGACTGAAGGTCTCTCTAGCCCTGTATCCAATTTTTGGATGTGGTCAGTCATGAACACTTGAAGATTATGAGAAATCAAGGAGGAATGATCCTTCCTTAATTATATCCTTCCCTGTTCTAGCAGTCAGCAGTTGTGGATTTCCTCAGATAAATATTGTGTCTGTACCCTCCTGTTGAATAATCCTTGATAGAGGTTTTTCATTTATCTAATTGCTTTTTGAATCCATTTAGAGTTTGCTGTGGGATATTCTTATTGTCAAGAGTCCCACAATTATAATTATATATACCATGAAAAGGTACCTCTTTTTGAAATGGTTTTAAGCTCTGGCTTGATAATTTCATCAAAGACCCGATAGTCTGATAGTCTTTCTATTAGGAAAATTAGCAAATAGTAATTTTATATTGCACACAATTTTTGGTTTTATAACCCCATATCATATTATTTCTCTTCAGTTGCTTCTTTTTAATGCTGAAGAGGCCTCTTTCTTTAACCCCTCCTTCTGTGGAAGGTATCCCAAGCCTCTGATCACTCCCAATTCCCTTCGTTTTCCTTTTTCTTATTCTGTTGGGCTGGAACAAAATGTGAAATTTTGTATCATAAAGGTTGTTGTAATTTGGGGTTTCTTCTCCCTCTCTGTTTGCATCCAAATAATTCCAGACATCCTTTTTGCTTTTTTTGATTGCCACTGAGTAGTGCCATTTGATATTTTCAAGGCACTGTCTATGATGATTCTAGGTCCTTCCTAGGCAGTGACAGCTGAAGCAGAGCCTGCCTTTTTGAGCTGAAGTTGTGTTTTCCTGTATAAGTTATTTGGCCTTTACTGACATTTCATTTTCTCTGTTAATTCATTGTCCAGCTTCTCAGCTGCTTCATCTACTTCTTCCGTTAATTTCATTGTTATGCCTTTTGATATAAATGAACTGCTGACCTGCAATCAAATGTTTGCTGGGGATTATAGGGGAAACATTTGTGGGTATGGGCTTTTTTCTTATGTCAGTGCTGTAGGTGTTTTATCTGTTTAACAAAAGAGACTTTTCTGTATTTAAAAAGCTTACTTTCAGGGATTTATTCTGATTTCAGAAAATAAGGAAATGAAACTGACTTGAGGGAAACACAGAATCTTGATTACAAATGTCTTTCGTGTTGGATATCATACTGGTATTTCATTTTGTGGGGTTTGTTTTGATTTGTTTTTTTTTTTTTTCTTTAAGGAAATCCTGCTATTGGAATTTTAAAGCACAAGGAGAGATGTTATGTTTTCAGTTCCATAGAAGCTGCATATGCCTTTGCTCAAGATCCAGATAAGTTCATTCAACTGAACATAGAAAAAGCAAAAGAACACGCAGAGCTAATTCTGCTGCTTGAGCTTTGTCATCAGTTTGAGTACTTTGCTCCATTTAAACAGGTACACCTTGAAGAGTTGCTGGGTCACGGGTTGGTCTGTCCTTTCTAGAACATAAAGGGAACAGATGATACCCAGCTTTAGGAAATAAGTCTAATCATCTGCCTATCATGCAGAGTGTCTGAAAGTCCATCTTTTCCAGGTCTCCAGGGTGTTGATAAGAAACATTTTCCCTTAATGTTGTTCTTGCCTTATCTCTTTGTAGCAGAGTGTGTAGAGCCAAAGGATTGTGGCTGTGATAAAAGCTGTTTGTCCTTAGTCTAGAAAGATCCCATGTCTGATGTTTCTTTCCCTCATTTTTGCAAAAGTAGCTTCAGGAGACAGTATATAAATGCTGGTGGTGATGGTGGGATCCCTTTTACCAAAACCCAATGACTAAGCACTCACTTGGGATATGAGTCTGAAATTAAACCCATCAAATACTTACTGTTTTTTTCTTTTTAGCAGGGAGAGGGGGAACAAAACTATTGTTGAATGTAAAAATCATTGTCCATTTGTGGTTTGCAGGTTTCTATTTGCTTTTAAAAATTACACTATTTTTCTTAGATGTCTGTATTCTTCTCATTAATGCCCTGCTTGGTTTTGTTGTGGTTTTTTCTTCATCCAGGCCAGAAATGCAGGCAAACGTTGGATAAAACCAACCATGCAATGTGACAGTGGCACTCAAACTGATACTCACATCTTGCCTCCGACTATTGTGGCATCCTATGAGTGGAATGAATGGGAACTGAGAAGAAAAGCCATAAAACTGGTTTGTATTCTTATTACCATATTTTAATTGCTGGGTAACAAAGTTCAGAATAAATTATTGTAAACTTTTGTTCCTTGCAACAGAAATCTAATGTTATTCAACGACGCACACTTCTGTTACAACTGGCTCAATATTTTTTTCCAGGTATTTTCTCTCTTTACTTCTAGACTTCCTTATTTTCCCACTTTTTCCATATTTTCCCCTATTTTTAAGTCCTGCTTCAACTTGCCTTCTTTAAGCAATAAGAGTTTGTTGGTTAGCACTGAATTTTAAAGTTGTTTCTCCACACTGAAATAAATGTAACAGGTAGAAGATATTGCTATATACTTTCTTTGTAAAAAATAAAAATAAAAAAAGATTGCAGAATGATTTGTGCCAGGCAAAACCTTTTGCAAGTTGAGCAATTTATATTAATATTCATCCCCACCAAGTGATGATGTCCAAGGGTGATACCCACCTGCCATCTCATTCAGAGAATCATAGAATTGTCAAGGTTGGAAGGGACATCTAAGATCATTTGGTCCAACCATCAACCTAACTCTGATAAAACCCATCACTAAACCATGTCACCAAGCACTATGTCAACCCAGCTTTTTAATACCTCCAGGGATGGTGCCTCAACCACTTGCCTGGGCAGCCCATTCCAAGGCTTAATAACCCTTTCTGTGCAAAAATGTTTCCTAATATCCAATCTGAACCTCTTCTGGTGCAACTTGAGGCCATTTCCTCTTGTCCCATCGCCTGTGACTTGGGAGAAGAGACCGACCCCCCCCAGCTACACCCTCCTTTCAGGGAGTTGTGGAGAGCGAGAAGGTCTCCCCTCAGCCTCCTTTTCTCCAGGCTGAACACCCCCAGCTCCCTCAGCCTCTCCTCATAAGACTTGTTCTCCAGACCCCTCACCAGCTCCCGTGCCCTTCTCTGGACCCGCTCCAGCACCTCAATGTCTTTTTTGTGGGAAGGGGCCCAAAGTGTGGGAAGGGACCCCAAATTCAGATTGCTTGAAATTAGTTTAAAGCACTGGAAGAGCTAACCATGAAAACGACATTTTATTCTAACAAAGGCTTCAGCATTGAAACAAAATTTTGCTTAGTCTGATTCTTTTTGTGTCTTTAGGCCAATTTGCGCCGCAAACTGACTCACGCCGTGCAGACTGATCTCAGCCACATGAGAAGAGAGAACTCCACCCAAGTCTACCTGCCAAAAGACAGCAGCACCCAGACCAAGTGTGACAACTCGAGCAACGTGCCCAGACCACAGATGTTCTTGAAAGGTCTCCGAGGAGGATCTTCACCCACTACTCATATGGTCAAAGTAGACTTAACAAGACCAGTAGATGAAAACTGAGTGAAAGTGAGAAACCTAAAGATATATTGAATGTATATATAAAAATCCCTGCGTGTATCTGAATTGAGATATGAAAGATCTTACTGTGTCTGTTGATTCCAGAAGCAGGAATTTCTTTCATTTACTTTATCTGTCGAGGCTGCTGACTGGCATTAAGTGACAGAAATTCTGACCCTGAAACATGCAGATTTTAAATGGTGATTTAGAATCTTCCCAAAGACTTTAATTTAAACTGACATTTAAATGTGTAGTGTGTGCTCTGGGATTTTCTTGAGGTTTTAATACAATGATTGTTTGCAGAAACACTGTCCTTAAGAGTCTTTGGTACGTGAAAAGGGTAATGTAAGACAAATGGAATCAAAGAATGGTTTGGGTTGGAAGGGACCTTAAAGATCATCCAGTTCCAAACCTCCTCCCCTGTGCAGGGACACCTCCCACCAGACCAGGTTGCTCCAAGCCCCATCCAGCCTGGCCTTGAACCCCTCCAGGGATGGGGCAGCCACAGCTTCTCTGGGCAAATGGCTTTTATGAGACACGTGGCCGATGCTGCAGCTCCTCCAGAGGTGTCATTCCCAGTGGTGTGAAATAAAACTGACCCCAGGAGCGTCACCCGAATGTCACGGCAGAATCCTCAAGAAGGTAAAACTTCTGGGGACTTTGGGAACTGCAGGAACTTGACTTGGGGGCACCTTTTTGAAAGCTGTTTTACTTGTGTTTGAAAAACTAAAGCGCAACAGGAAAAAGGTTTTTAGCTTTATTTCCTTGCGGCGGGGAAATAAGTCTGACCGAAGCAACCTGAACCATTTGAGCTTTAAGGTGAAACATCTTCTCAAACGGAATTAGGGAGTACTTTAAAACAGAGACACTTTTCACAACAACGATGATCTCCATTGAGAACTCCATGAGTTCTTATCAGCAGAGTGTCCAGATCACACAAGGTGTGCTACGCTCTCTAAGCCTCTTTTATTTTTGGCCAGGTGCAGCGTGGTTCCCTGGGTCATTGTCACACAAACGTGTGATGATGAAGCTTGAGGAGTCCGGCGGGTGGGTGATTTGTCTGTGGTGTGCAGGGTGATGTTCTCTTTTCGTTTGGCTTCCTCCATGGTTCACTTTTTATTTCAACAACTGGGACAAATCCAGAAGGTGTCACACAATCCAAGGACCAGCAGACAAAAAGTCAGCTCAAGCAGTTTCCACTCGGTGATTTTCTCTTTTGTAAAAAAAATAATCGACAGCAGCCAGATGTGTTGCTCCTCCGTGGTTTTTGGTGACGAGCTGGCACCTATTTTTATATTTATTAATTAAAAAATGAATGCTGCTACCAGCTGCAGTGTTTTTTATTCAGAGAAAACACCCTGTTGCTGTTTAATGAAACACTTTGTTGCTGCCGTCTCCGTGTGTTTTTATCACCGTTTGCTTTGAACCGACAAAGTGGTATTTTAAGAACACATAAACACATCTATTTAAAAGAAAACTGATGAGTGACAATCCCTTTTATCCCACTTACTCTTCTCCTTTCCATCTGGAGAAGCTTCTGCAGCGTTGTATGATACCGAGGAACACAAGTGTGCTGTACAGCTGTTTTGGGGCGGCAGGAACACGGTGGTACTGAAAAGCTTGCTCCTGGCAAGGAGGAACACAAGCGTGAGGTTCCTGGCTGTTTCCTACCAATAAAATAGTGCAGAAAAAACCCAAACAAACCCAAACCTGTTATAAAACAGCTTTATTAATGTGAAAAGGGAGACAACCATCAGTTGATGCCCATTTGAACTTGAGTTTTAGTTTATTTGGTGCTGGTTCTCCTGCCCCGCGTGACCGTCCTCATGACGGCCTCACGGGCTGGGTACCCACCTCCAGCGCTGGTGACCCTCGGGCTGTGGGGCTGTTCAGGGGGTGGCCGGTTGTGGCACAGCCCCCTCCTTTGCCCTCACAGCTGATTTGGGGGGTTTCCTCCTCTTTAGTTTTTGCAGGGCGGGTTCGCAGACAGCGGGAGAGCCGCATTTAAGGGGAATTCCTGAAGCTCCCCCATGGCAGGGGGGTTGGAACTAGATGATCTTTGAGGTCCCTTCCAACCCTAACCATTCTATGATTCTATGGGTGCCGGCGTTACAACCCCCCCTTCACACGGAATTTGAACGGAATTTGTACGACTGTTGCTGCATTAATTTATCAACCACCGCTCCGTGTCCAAACCCTCACCGCCCCCTCAGCCCGGCCCTTCACACGCCCCCCCCGCTCCCTGTAGCACCGGGGCCGCTCGAACACACTTCTCCCCCCTTCTCTTCTCCCCCCTTCTCCCCCTCCCCGCAGCGGGGGCCGCTTCGTCGCCGTGGGGCCCAGGTCGCCAGAGCAACCGGGCAACCCCCCCTCAACCCGCCCCGAGCGGTGCCCCTCCGCCGGGAGCCTGTGGGGAGATGCCAGAGCCACCGCCAGAGCCCTTGGGCAAGGCGGGGGGGCTTCAAGCCCTTGGGCCAGCATGGCCAGCAGGACTAGGGAAGTGATGGTCCCCCCTGTGCTGGGCACTGGGGAGGCCCCATCTCCAGTTCTGTATACAGTTTTGGGCCCCTCACCACAAAAAAAAAAGACACTGGTCCAGAGAAGGGCAACGGAGCTGGTGGGGGGTCTGGAGAACAAGTCTGATGAGGAGAGACTGAGGGAGCTGGGGGTGTTCAGCCTGGAGAAGAGGAGGCTGAGGGGAGACCTTCTCGCGCTCTACAACTCACCGCCCCCTCAGCCCGGCCCTTCACACGCCCCCCCCGCTCCCTGTAGCACCGGGGCCGCTCGAACACACCGCCAAGCTCCCCCTTTTTTTTTTTTTTCTTCTTATTTACAGGTTAAAATCGGTAAACCCTGAGAACAAGCAGCTCCCGCCGCCGCCGGGCCCAGTCACCGCCGGGAGCGGGAAGGACAGGCCGCGCTGCGTCTCGATGGTGAGAGGAGCGGGGAGGGGCAGGCGGGACGCTCTAGGCGGCCGCGCCGCTCTCTATGGTGCGATGGGAGGAGCGGCGGGGCACGGCGGGCGGCTCCGGCCCGGCGGTCTGCGAGCTTTCCGCCGGCACCATGTCGGCTGCGAAAGGTGAGGGGACGGCGAAGCGAGGCGGCGCGGCTGGGGCGGAGGGGAAGCGTGGCGCTGGGAGGAGCGGTGCCCCTCCGCCGGGAGCCTGTGGGGAGATGCCAGAGCCACCGCCAGAGCCCTTGGGCAAGGCGGGGGGGCTTCAAGCCCTTGGGCCAGCATGGCCAGCAGGACTAGGGAAGTGATGGTCCCCCCTGTGCTGGGCACTGGGGAGGCCCCATCTCCAGTTCTGTATACAGTTTTGGGCCCCTCACCACAAAAAAAAAAGACACTGGTCCAGAGAAGGGCAACGGAGCTGGTGGGAGGGCTGGAGAACAAGTCTTATGAGGAGCGGCTGAGGGAGCTGGGGGGGTTCAGCCTGGAGAAAAGGAGGCTGAGGGGAGACCTTCTCGCTCTCTACAACTACCTGAAAGGAGGGTGTAGAGAGGTGGGGGTCAGTCTCTTCTCCCAAGGAATGAGTGATGAGACAAGAGGAAATGGCCTCAAGTTGCACCAGGGGAGGTTCAGATTGGATATTGGGAAGTGTTTCTTCACGGAAAGGGTTATTAAGCCTTGGAATGGGCTGCCCAGGGAAGTGGTTGAGGCACCATCCCTGGAGGTATTTAAAAGACGGGTTTGCATGATGCTTTAGTGACATGGTTTAGTGATGGCTTTTATCAGAGTTAGGTTGATGGTTGGACTCATTGATCTTAGAGGTCCCTTCCATCCTTGACAATTTATGATTCTAAGGTGACACCTGTCCCTCTCGCAGGCCCTGCTGGGCTCTGGGCCGCGGGCTGGGTGAGGAGGAGGAGGGGGATCCCCTGGAGGAGAAGGGGCAGGAGCTGGGGCCCTCAGCCTGTGTGGGGCTGGGTTTTGAATATTTGAATGGAACCTCTTATGTTCCAACTTGTGCCCTGTTGCCCCTCGTCAATTTCATTCGAGTGGGATTTCCTGAAGCCAGCAGAAAAAACTCTGGGAGAGAAATAACAGCTTTTTTTCCAGCTCTTTTTTTTTTTTTTTTTAAGGCTTTTTTTTCCCTTTTTTTTTGTTTAATAAGGCTTATCAGCAGAAGATACAGGTGCCCCAACTATGCTTCCCCTCTGCCCCCAGTGCTGCACCGGGACTGATGCAGACACGTGGGCCAGACTGGGGAAATACTCTGGCTGAAGACAAACTGCAAATAGCTTTTAACATAAGGCTAGAACTATGTAGTGTAGTTACTCAGTTCCTTCTCCTGTCCTGCTGCGTTTGATTTACCCAAGTTTGCCAACTGTTGCCAAATTGAAGCATTTCACAGAATCACAGAATGATGTGGGGTTGGAAGGGACCTCTGGAGATCATCTAGTCCAACCCCCAATTTATTTATTATTTTTTTTAAGAGTAGTCAATAAAGGCAAGTGTTAAATTTAGTTTTAGTTCGGCGGCACGTAGACTTAAAAATCTTAACGTGTAAAAGCAGATTGTTAATGATAATTTAGCGCCGACAGAAACGATACAAGGAAATACACTTCTGTAGAAGTTATAAAACTGGACTGGGTTAATTTTATTTCCTGTTGTTATGCCCTTGGGTTCCCACTGCCCCCCCCTCCCCCCAATCCAAACTTAATTTCAAAATGGATTACAGTTTGTAAGTCTCTTTTAAGTACTGTTAGTCCAAAAACTAATTGGCTCTACCTTTTAAAAGTGGTTACTGACGCGGGTGAGATTTTTATCTGCAAGGAAGCAGCTAATTTAAATGATTAGAGCAGCAGGAGGTATTAAGCGTACCTCGCAGAAATGTTATGCAATAGAAGACGTCGCTGGCTTGGAAGAAAAATGAACCAAAACATGGGTCCAGCTGGATTCAGCAACTCGTTCCCATATGAAATGAACAAAGTTATTACAGATCTGCCCGGAGCTTATCTCTCAGCTCATTCCCTAATCAGCAGAGGAACATAAACCAATTAAAGTAGGTTTCTTTAGGATATTCAGAATGCGAGAGATAATGGCCCCAAAGGTGCTGCTGAGTGACCAGCACCCCCCAGCAGACGCCAGAGGTAACCTGGGATAGTTCACCAGTTTGAACAACTCCCAAATTATACAGGATGGTAGTTAGTCCAGGGCAAAACTGTGACAAGAATTGCTGCTGTTGGAGGAGGACAGGGGCAGGGAATTCCGAGGGGGTAACACAGGTGGTACATAGTCCTTCCCTGGTTTGATTTATGGAATAGCCATACCCTCAGTGTTTTCTACAGAGAATTATTTTTTGAGAAAGCCCTTACTGTGACGTGCCTTCACCGTTCTAAGCAAAACTCTTTTCTCTTCCTAACTAAGGTGGAAAATAAGGGTGAAGGAAATGCTGCATTATTTATGAAGATGTGATACAGTGATGCCCTTCTTTGCTGATGCTGAACTTTTCCTCTCTCCCTTTGCCTTATGAGTCTGCCATGGCTGTGTCAGACCCCAGTGCACGACCTGGAGAGGATCAGCTGCTGTTTCAGAGCGAGCACTTACTGTCAGCTGAAGAGCAGGAAAGCACAGAAGGACCTTTTGATTACTATTAGATAAATATTAAGCCTATGATTAGATTTTCTAGAATGAAGGGTGGTTATGAGGGCAAGAGGACGTCATATTTTCAAACACCTGGAGGTCCAATACAGGTTTCTTTGAGAAGAGACTCAAAAATTTAACTTTAACTTCTTACAGTGATCATTTCCCAACATCGTATGCTGCCAGGGTGGTATTTGATACAGTCCTCTGGCTGTATCAGGACAACCTGCTTCAGTTCTTAAATTAAAATGAAGGGTGCACTGAGTCCTCTCTCCTCATCTTTGTTTTCCTGCAGAAAATGTCAGCCTGCCGTTCAAGCTGTACTGCCTGACGGTGATGACCCTGGTTGCCGCCACGTACACGGTGGCGTTGCGGTACACAAGGACGGTGGAGACCGAGCTCTACTTCTCCACCACGGCTGTGTGCGTCACGGAAGTCATCAAGCTGTTCTTGAGCGTGGGCATCTTGGCTAAGTGAGTATGGAACGCTAAGAGGTAGTTTGAAAATGAATCCCAGCTTCTGACCTCGGAGTCGGAAGAGAAACCTGGAGCACTGGGTCCAGTTCTGGGCTCCCCAGTTCAAGAAGGACAGGGAACTGCTGGAGAGGGGACAGCAGAGGGCTACAGAGATGATGAGGGGCCTGGAGCATCTCTCTGATGAGGAAAGGCTGAGGGACTTGGGTCTTTTTAGTCTCGAGAAGAGAAGGCTGAGGGGGGATCTGATCAAGGCCTATAAATACTGAAAGGGTGGGTGTCAGGAGGATGGGGCCAGTCTTTTTTCAGGGGTGCCCAGGGACAGGACAAGAGGAAATGGGCACAAACTTGAACATAAGAAGTTCCACCTAAACATGAGGAGGAACTTCTTTACTTGAGGGTGGCAGAGCCCTGGAAGAGGCTGCCCAGGGAGGTGGTGGAGTCTCCTTCTCTGGAGACATTCCAAACCCACCTGGACACGTTCCTGTGCAACCTGCTCTGGGTGGACCTGCTCTGGCAGGGGGTTGGACTGGATGATCTCCAGAGGTCCCTTCCAACCCCAGATCATGCTGTCATTCTGTGGGTCTCAGACGCTGAAGCACAGAGCCATTGAGTGTGGGTTAGAGCTTGTGAGTCCTCCTCAACTGAAACTGGTTTGTAAACACCACAATGTTCAGGTGTGTCCTTTCTACATATTTTCTGGGTTTGTGTGCTTTGGAATAGGTTCAAAATGTCAGCGTGGATTATTTGCGATGGTTTGGGTCTTGACAATAGTGGTGCAGATGAAAGCTGGACTGTGAGCCACCTTCTGCTGAGTTACATAAAACTGTAATGTTCCTACTCATAAATTTTCCCAAATGATGTTACAGACAGATGTTTTGCTCTCTCTTGACCTGGGGAATCGAAGCTGAAAGGCTGTGTGCTCAGGAAATACTAGAGTTTCTGTGACCCCAGCCTGCTGCTAGGAGCTAGAACTTCAGTCCACACGAGAACATCTGAAGTCAGGAGGCCATCAGTCTGTTGACTTTCCTTTCAGCTTCCCTGGGCTTCATCCTTCCTTGAAAGAATCTTTATATTCTGGACTTTTCCAAAGCCCAGTTCTTACTCTTGTGGTAGAATTCATTCTTTTAGTGTCTCTCCTATCTCTCTGTAGCAACTATTGTAAGTTTCTTTTTGGATATCACTATGCTTGAGTGTAATCAGCAAAATTTGCCAATTTCCTAGTAATCTCCCACTTTAGATCATATGTGAATACTCTGAACAATAAAAATTCCAGCAGTGATTCCTTTACAGCTTCTTCCAGTTTTAAAGTTCCAGCCAATTTCACAGAATGGTTGGAGTTGGAAGGGACCTTCAAGATCATCCAGTTCCAACCCCCTGCCTTGGGCAGGGACACCTCCCACCAGACCAGGTTGCTCCAAGCCCCATCCAGCCTGGCCTTGAACCCCTCCAGGGATGGGGCAGCCACAGCTTCTCTGGGCAACCTGGGCCAGGCTCTCACCACCCTCACACTGAAGAATTTCTATCCAGTATCTAATCTAAATCTCCTCTCTTTTTAGAATTTGTTTGCTTCCACATTCTTATGCTGTGCCTTCCCTGTGTTTACTTTTAACGTTTCTTTTGGAAGGGGCACTGAATGGATGAATGTAAAAAGATTGTCTTTCGAAAGAGGAGTTTATGATAGTTTAAGCTGTGTTAATTGTTTATTCAACTGTACTCTCAACATCTCATATTTATTTAAAGTCCAGTTCATCGCCTGGTAGTTACATTGTCTGCATTGTTAGATGGTACATAATTAATTGGCAACGGATGAAGAAAAATAGAGCTGATTTGCAAACTCCAGGTTTAACATCCGCTTTTCTAACAAACGCGTGTTTCTGTTGCAGAACTGGTTGTTATTAGTATCACCCATTCAGACCTTTGAAGAAAACACCATGGTTTTTTAAATCAAATCTAGGCCAACCTCAGTAATTTGAGCCAGATGATATTTTATTTTCTGATTTGGCTTTGGAGTTGTACATCTTGGGGCACCTTATTGTCCCTTCTCAGCTATACACAGAGACTTGCTTGAGAAGCAGCCTTGAGTAAGCAAGAAATGTCAGACTGATGTAGAAATGAGAAGGGAGAACTAGCAGAAGGCAGCTGTAAAGAAGGGGACCATAAAAGGGGACACACCCCTGAGGAGAGCCCTCTGTCCCCCTGCCTGTGCACTCAGGAACTTGTTCCACTGTTTACAGTGTTGGCGGTGGTTGTTTAACCTGTTACACATTAATGTATCTCACCTCCTGATTCCACAATGTCTTCTTTGCCCTCAGGGGTTTCCACTTGTTGATAACTCACTGGTTTATCCCCAGTTAACTTTTCTTCAGTGAGCAGAAGGTGCAACTGAGTGTTGAGAACAAATTATCAGCCATTCAAGGGATTCATTGGTTTGATTTCTGTTTTCAAATAAAATAGAGCCCTCGGTGATATTACTGTTTTGTTTTGCAGAGAAACTGGGAGTCTGGCAAGGTTAATAACATCTTTAAAAGAAAATGTATTCGGAAGTCCTAAAGAATTGCTGAAATTAAGTGTCCCGTCTTTGGTGTACGCCATCCAAAACAACATGGCCTTTGTGGCTCTTAGCAACTTGGATGCAGCAGTCTACCAGGTAACACACGGCTTTGTCAGCAACTCAGCTGTAAATGCAGTTCTCTGTGCTGCTCCCCGAGTCCTGTGCTGGGTGTGTGTCTGCTCTCGTTAGCCTCGCTGTTAAAAGCCTAATGATGCTTTGGATATATTATCAGGGGGGTTGGAACTCAATGATCTTTAAGGTCCCTTCCAACCCAAACTATTGTATGATTCTGTGATATTCAGAGCTTAGTCTGTGGCAGAGCTCTGGATTTCTGAGCTGACCCGCTCACTGCTAGAGGCACTTCACCTTCTCTTTGCTGTAATCAGCGACGGTACGAAAACCCAATCCTCAACAAGGATAAATTTTTGTCATTCTGTAGTTGAATTCTCTGTTTTCGGAGGAGTTAATAAAACCACATCCTCTCTGCTTCTGTGCCCGTCTCCTTCAGGTGACGTACCAGCTGAAGATCCCTTGTACAGCTTTGTGTACAGTCCTAATGCTGAACCGCACCCTCAGCAAGCTGCAGTGGTTCTCTGTCTTCATGCTGTGTGGTGGTGTCACCCTTGTCCAGTGGAAGCCTGCTCAGGCCACCAAAGTCCAGGTAAGAGTTTACATTTTGCCGCTTCACAATGAAGAATAAAGTGCCTTCTACTTTGTATTTCACTCAACAGCAGAATGAATCACAGAATGATCTGGTTGGAGATCATCTAGTCCAACCCCCTGCACCCAGAGCAGGTTGCACAGGAACGTGTCCAGGTGGGTTTGGAATGTCTCCAGAGAAGGAGACTCCACCACCTCTCTGGGCAGCCTCTGCCAGGGCTCTGCCACCCTCAAGTAAAGAAGTTCCTCCTCATGTTTAGGTGGAACTTCTTATGTTCAAGTTTGTGCCCATTTCCTCTTGTCCTGTCACTGGGCACCACTGAAAATAGACTGGCCCCATCCTCCTGACACCCACCCTTTAAGTATTTATAGTCCTTGATCAGATTCCCCCTCAGCCTTCTCTTCTCCAGACTAAAAAGACCCAAGTCCCTCAGCCTTTCCTCATCAGAGAGATGCTCCAGGCCCCTCATCATCTCTGTAGCCCTCTGCTGTCCCTTTTCCAGCAGTTCCCTGTCCTTCTTGAACTGGGGAGCCCAGGATTGTACCCAGTGCTCCAGATGGGGCCTCCCCAGGGCAGAGCAGAGGGGCAGGATGACCTCCCTTGGCCTGCTGGTCACACTCTTCCTGATGCACCCCAGAATGGCCTTCTTGGCCACCAGGGCCCATTCCTGGCTCATGGGCATCCTGTTGACCACCAGGACTCCCAGGTCTTTTTCCTCAGAGCTGCTCTCCAGCAGGTTACCCCCAACCCATACTGGTGCAGGGGGTTGTTCCTCCCCGGGTGCAGCACCCCAGCCCCACAGCAGGTGATGTCTTTGGTGTTCCATACAGCAGTGCCCGTTTTCTGTTCCCAGACACTTCATCTCCAGCATGAGCACTAGTTTGATCATCCACCCTCACGTTCATTGCGTACCAGTTCAGGCAGGCTTGCGGTATTGCTCCAGCCTCGCTTGTTGGAAAGGCACTTGATTGCTACAATTAGTATTAATTACCACAGTCTAACACACCGTCATAGGAGTATCTGAGTAATATAGTGTTTCCAGCAGTTGGCCCTGGTGTCCTTGTAATTGTTGGAGCGGAGAACTTGGAATCCAAGCGCTTGATGGAATTAGGAGTGAAACTCCAGTGCTTTGTGGGTGTGGGTTCCTCGCTTCAACACACCCTTCGGAGGCGCTGACCTAATCCTGTGCTTGGAGGAAACAAGTGGCTTCTGTTCCTTAGGTCTTCGTTGCTGCTCAGGAGTGTTAGTGGGAAGGGCAGGTCACTCAACTGGGAATACTGGCCACAGCTGGTGGTGCGGATGGTGCCTCTGAGCACCACAGGGGTTGGGAAGAGACACACGGAAGGTGGAAGCTGCACCGAGCCCACCTGAGGGGCAGCTCTCGCTCAGCAAGTACACTTTATACCGGAATAAAATGCTAATAATTTTGCTGTACTTAACGAAGTATCTCTGGAATTGATTGTTGTACGTGACTGAAGTGGTGCTTCCTTGTGAAAGTGACGGTTGGTGTTGCAGGTGGAGCAGAATCCATGGCTGGGGTTTGGAGCCATCGCTGCTGCTGTGCTGTGTTCAGGATTTGCAGGTAGGGTGTTATTGCCACACGCTGGTCACATCTAAAGGACTGGAGAACTCATGATGTTTAAAACAGAACGTTCAACATTAGTTAACTAACTGTCTTTGTTGATTATAAGATCAAAAAAGGACTTCATCTCCTCTGCCCATAATTACCTTCTACTCGCAGTGATGATGAGAGATTCATGACATGACTCCTCCAGTTGTCAAGCCGATGACTGGGAGTGTGTACTATTGGTTTTATTTCCATGATGTAACTTAGAAGGCTGGTTTGCAACTGGAAGTGTCTTTCAAATGCTCAGAATAGTATTGTGGGAAGCATCCAGAACAACTCGCTCAGTACAATTAATTAATAGACACAGATTTTATAAAGTTGGCTTTACAGTGAATAGCTCCCTTAACTCTTATGCAGGCTCAGCCCTGAAATCCAAATTACCATAGTCCTGTAGGTGGTAAATCTAACTGAGATGCAGAGGGAGCATAAGGAAGGCAGAGAGGAGGATGAGGAGCAGGAAGCCTTGATAAACTCTGAAGGATTTTCAGTAATGGGGGTGGTTTTGGTGGGTTTTGTTGTTGTTTTGGTTTTTTTGTTTGTTGGTTTGGTTTTTTGTTGTTGTTCTTTTTTTTTACAAACAGCATTTCCCTTCAGAGTAGTTTTTCTCTGGCTTCTGCAGCAGGAGACCAGAACTGGAGGACAAGTGAGCTGGTGCTAAAAAATAAGGAAATGCAAATTGCTACTTAATTTGAAACTTGGCTCACGGCAGCCTATTTTCCTGCCTGTAAACTGGATTCTTCCCCCTCCCTCTGTAAGAAAACAAGGTACTATCACTCGCCTCTAGCACCATCCAATCCTGCAGGAATGAATCTTGTGCTGTGCATACTCACTTGGTGCTCTTGGAAAACATTCTGGCTGGCAGGAGGGAAAAGGAGGGGGGTGTCCTTCTTGTTTGGTGTCTTTTCAGTGAAAAGGGCACTTTGAAGCAGAAATATTAAATAAAGATTGCGTAGAGCTCAGTCAGCTTTTCCTGGGAGGTTAGAAATTTCCTCATTTCAATAGATGCTCCCAAGCCACGAGACAAAGTAGAGCATCCCCAGCCAAGCCTTCAGTCTCCTGAAGCTCTCCAGCTTTTTGAGATAATGTGAGGACATCGCTGTGCTTCTAACGGTCTGCAAACTCTAAGCATGCAAAGTGTTGATTCAGGTGGCTCGAGAGGGTTTAGACACACAGGGCTTTCTTCTCCTGCAGCCAGGAGGACAGAGCATTCCATCCCTGGAGCTCCTTGTGCCCTTGGAGCTTTACATGTCAAAAACATAAGTCCTGTGCAAACTTCTTCCTTCCCCCGCCCACATGAAGAAGTTGTTTTGGCATTAAACCTTCAGTTGCTGGACTAACCACGTTAAGTGTTTTATATTCTTCCAGCAAAGTCAAAAAAATTACGTGGTTTTGTTCCTGGGAGTTGGAAAAAAGTTTTTTCTTCAAACTGCTGATCCTGTGGTCATTTCCAAGTACCCAAGGGCCCAACAACGCTTATAAATATATAATGGCAGCTTCTCTGTGACTCGAAACAGTACTGAAGAATAATTTCTCCTAAAGAGCACCCATTTTTTCTTTCATCCTGCCTAGTGGAGTGTTTTTTGTGCATTTTCAGGAATCTGAAAGCATAATTTTATTGGCTCCCTTGGTTTATCAAGTTTCTTGTTCATAAAATTGAGAAGTCAGCTTTGTGCTCGAGCCATGTTTCTGGGAAGTTGGTTACATCTGGTTGTGCTCTGTGAAAATTGGAGAGCAATTCCCATGGGTTCTTTTAATCACTGCTGTCGTCAATAGGACTGGGGTTTTGTTGATATTGTTCTTTAGGCTTTGAAAAGGTGTATTGGTATGAGGTAAAATCAAGCAAGGGAATTCAACTTATTATTTGAGCCCCTGAAATATAAATCTCTTCTCTGATTTATTCACCATAAATATTCCATATGCTGTATTAAATTATAAATTGCATTTTTCATGAATAAAAGAGTAGCAAAGACTTTCCTTGAAGCCAAGGCTGGGATTTCAGGAGGAGGAGCATGTTCTTTGGGCTTCTGACCCGCAGGTCTTCTCTCTGTGCTGTCTGTGTCAGGTCCATATAGTTTTATCAGATGAGAGATCTTGGGTGACGTTAACCAGCAACAAGGGCTCACTCAGTAGGACTCACACCAGGAAGTCCCAGAAGGGGCTGAGAAGATCCTGCCAAGTGTTGTCTGTGTTTTGAAATGGGGAGGAAATGCCAGAGATGAGCAGAGTCCTGGCGTGGGAGCCATGGTTAGAAAGGCAGGGATGGCTTTGTCCAATGTTGGCCTTTTTCAGCCCAACACGCGCCTCCCGAGTAGAATACCGAAGTATTTGGGGAATTTCAGTAATGCCAGGCATAAAAGTAACGCTCATCAGCGTGGGGCTGTGAACAAGAGCTTCAGATTGAAATTAATTCTGCTTCCTCAAATGCAATCTGGAGTTTCAGTCAGCAGAAGGCACGGGTTTTGATGTGCTCTTGCAATCCCCTGGAGCTGTGGTTTGAGCACTCTGCCAAGTGCTCTGCTTCCGAGGAATTTTCAGTCTCACTCTGAGGTAATATAGTTCCCACCCCTGTTTTTTATTTTTTCCTGCTCAGTATCCCAGTGGAGGGAGGAAAAGAGTTTTACATCATACGAACATACATAAATAGTGTCCTGGGGATAAAATACCCGATGCCAAGGGGAGAGGAGTGAAGCCGGTCCAATCAAACAGAAACGAGGAGTCGTTTCAACTGTCAATAAGGTTCATTGTTAAAACGACTGTAAGAGAAATCAAATGTGTTTTTGATGTCCTGGAAGACAGGCATCACCAGGATGTGGGTTTTGGGCCTTCTGCATTAAGAACTTCTGTGAAACAAACCAGTCTGTAGGACAAGATGATCCCAGTAGCCTTGTCTGGCTGTAAAACACTGTGAACCATGAATCGTTAAGGGCGACACTTCATCTCACTGAAACCTTTCCTAGTTTTATTTTTTTTTTTAGGAGTTTATTTTGAGAAGGTCTTAAAGAGTTCGGATACTTCCTTGTGGGTGAGGAACATTCAGATGTACTTATCTGGGATTGTGGTGACTTTATTTGGTGTGTACATGTCAGACGGAGCCCAAGTTCTGGAGAAAGGCTTCTTCTATGGCTACACACACTACGTCTGGTTTGTCATCTGTGAGTATCTTGTGGAAGCTTCTAGGGTCTTGTTACATGGGTTTGCTTTTTAATTGTGATATAACTGATTGCATGACACTACAAATTCACCCTGACCCACTCTTCCTTACTGTATTTTGAGGGGTTTTATTTTAAAGTATCATTATCTTGGAAATTATTCATAAAATCATAGAATGGTTTGGGTTGGAAGGGACCTTAAAGATCATTGAGTTCCAACCCCCCTGCCCTGGGCAGGGACACCTCCCACCAGACCAGGTTGCTCAAGCCCCATCCAGCCTGGCCTTGAACCCCTCCAGGGATGGGGCAGCCACAGCTTCTCTGGGCAACCTGTTCCGGTGTCTCACCACCCTCAGTGTAAAGAATTTCTTCCTAGTATCTAATCTAAATCTCCCCTCTTTCAATTTAAAACCATTACCCCTCGTCCTATGGCTCCCCTCCCTGATCACAAGTCCCTCCCCATCTCTCCTGGAGCCCTCTTTAGGGACTGGAAGGGTCTCTAAAGTCTCCCCAGAGCCTTCTCTTCTCCAGGCTGAACACCCCCAACTCCCTCAGCCTGTCCTCACAGCAGAGGGGCTCCAGCCCCCTGAGCATCTTCATGGCCTCCTCTGGACCTGCTCCAACAGGTCCATGTCTTTATGTTGGGGGGCTCCCGAGCTGGACACAGTACTGCAGGTGGGGGTTTCACAAGAAGAGAGGGGCAGTTCAATTGAAACCTGTGCTGAAACAGCAGCATAAATGAGTGATTAGTGAGTAGATTATTGTTCTGTTGTATCTGCTTTCCAGTTCTGGCCAGCGTAGGCGGCCTCTACACCTCGGTGGTTGTTAAGTACACAGATAACATTATGAAAGGCTTCTCTGCGGCGGCAGCCATTGTTCTTTCTACTGTGGCCTCAGTCATCCTCTTTGGCCTCCAGATAAGTAAGTGCCTTTTTTTTTTTCCCCTTTGATTTGACCGTCCACACGCGTTCCCCCCTGGTTGTACCCAGTCCATGCCAAAGCCATCAGTTATGTCTCCTGGAGTTTTAACCCCCGGACTCCTGCGCAGTGATGCATTGTCCCTCCTGTGCTACACAAGGAGCCTGATGATCCTCTGCTTTTGGGCGTGAATCCCTTTCTGCTGTGGGTTTGGTGTGTGATGCAGCAGTTCACCTGAGGCTGCTGTTGAGAAGTCATCATTTTGTGTTAGTTTTGGTACAGCCAGTGCCAGATTAATTCCTCAGCTATTTCTGGAAGGGCTTTACGTGTCCTTGCAGCTGTCTTGACTTCTATCTTCCCTGTTTGTGGTGGCCAACACCACAGGAGAGCCAGTCAAACAGCTGGGGAGGGGTGTGACTGATGCGGTGAAGATTTCTGAGAGGAAACGGCAGATCCCTTTGGGCTGTTCTGCAACAGCAAAGGACTCAGTTCTGGGTCTGATACTGCACCCAGGAGCTCCTGCTCAGTCCTTCACTCTTCAGTTTGGGCTATTTTTTACTTTCCTGCCATAATCCAAAGATGGGATGGTGGAAAAATGAGCTTTTTGATGTGGCGTTAGTGAGACGAAATTTAAAGAGCAAATAATCAGTGCTTGGCTGAAAAAGAGATGAAAAACCACAGCTAGTTTAAAAACTCACAAGAAATGTTCTGGGCAGAAGATTTTCTTGGTGCTTGACACAAATCAAACCCAAACTGGTGATCTTTCTGTGAAAGCCTCATTAATAGCTTTTCTTAACCCTGCCTAGAAGCGGAAAGGCAAACAAAGTGTGTTACTGGGGGCTGCTCTATCCCATCCACGGTGTCGTTAGCGTTAAGTCTGTTGTAGAATAAGCCTGTCGGGTGGCATCTGGAACTCCAGGAGATGTTTCACACTTGCTTTTCTGACCGTGTTCTTGCTGATATGAGACTAATTGAAACGGTGTGGGGACTGTAAACGCTCGAGAGTTTTCTCAGTGACAGAGGATGTCTAGATCCTGCGAATTATTAACAGCTTCTTGTCCTCTTTAGTTTCAAGTAGCTTTAATACTGTCATTCAGGTATCACCATAACTTACATGGCTTAGTCTTCTGGAGGTTTCTTCTTATACAGAGATCTTTATTTAAACTGTTTTGTGTCCTTTCAGCCGTTACCTTCTTCCTGGGTGCTCTCCTGGTGTGTGTTTCTATTTACCTCTACGGGTTACCTCGGCAAGACACCACAAAAATCCAGCCAGCAGAGACCAAGAGCTCAAAAGAGGGACTTGCTACTGTGTGACGCCGTCGGTAAAAATGGACTTTAAAAAAAACACAAATGCATTTTTTAAAAATTAGCCTTAAGCTAGTCATGAAGTGGTTTAAGTGGGATAAGCTAAAAGCAGAAGTTAGTTCTGTTTTGACACGTGGAGTTTCCAGTGGCTGATGCTGAGGCTGCGTTACGGCCGAGGAGCTGGACGGGCATTTTATGGAAGGTTTTCTTCATCCACATGGGACAATGAAGAGCCCCTTACACAAGGAAAGCAGAATGAAGGAACTGAACACTCAATTGTATATAATGTACATAACGGAGGGGGAAAGTGGTTCTTTGTGTACTTGATAAACTGTCTTGCCCTTTGAGGGCAGAAATGCCCAAAAGCTTCATAAAAATACATTAAAAAAGAGCAATTACTGCCAGCATTTTCTCTTAAGCTAGTTAACAATTGCAGTTTGATCGACGACAGGAAAAGTTTCTCTTCTAGGTGATATATATGAGATGACTGAGTCCTTCTCTAGTGTTTTTATGATGAATTAATAGTATTTTTTTCCCTCCGCGTTATCGAGCCTTGTGTGTCCTGACACAACTCCACCAGGAGCATCGGTGCTTCAGGCATCACTTCACCTGGCAGCGATTAGAAGCAGCACTTGCTCTTTGGTTTAAAGAGTCAGGGTGGGAGACTGGTGGTTCTCTGTTGCAGATTTCACTTTTCAAATGTTTTTTATCCCTGCTGTAGCTGGTAGAGGACTCTTTTATTCTATTCTTTGTGTTTTGCCAAACCCCAGTCGTACAGGGGGGGCAGGGAAGGTTCACATGTCGTCTTGTATCTCTGGCTTAAGTACAAATGAGGCAACACAAAGTGTCGGGCGAGAAGATTTTTATCTGTATGTTTTACCTCTAAAACTTTTTGTGCATAAGAGGGTGATGCTTGAAAAGAGTTCCTGTAACGCTTTTTAGGCTTTAATTTCATTTATGAGTGCCAACTGTTTTATTTCAACCTCATTTTCTAAGGCCTCACTCAGTTCAGCCCTTCTAGAAACTGCGACTCTGCATTGAGGGAAAACTCTGGTGCTTTGGGCAACTCGTTTACATTCAAAGTGGAGTCAAAACCATGACTGAGTTTATCTCCTGGTTAGATTCCTTTAGATGTGGATTAACCAGCTGGGTTTTATGTGGAAGTGGGGCGTGTTAAACCCAGCAGTAAGGATGTCCCACCTCTCTGCAGCTGTGTGATGGCTCAGGGACACCCAACGCTGCCACGTCTGACGGAGGGAGCGCCCCAGGTCCTGTTCCACCATCCGGGTGGCAAACCCTCTTGTCCCTGCTCACCACACCGCTGTGAGGGAGGAACAGGATGTGACAGCGTTGGCAGCTGGCCTTGGCTAGTACAGTACTACACACAGGGAAAAGAAAACACCTCTCTGGCGTGGTCTGACTGGGTTTGTTACAGCCTTGAGCCCGCCTGTAGCTGTTGGGCCATTAGGGCCTAAGCACACAATGGCAACTACAGAAGGGGAGAAGAACTATGATCACTCAGAGCAGTATACAGCTAACACCACTTCCTCTGCCAAAAGGACTTTGTATTTGCAAAGGTAATAGAGAAGGGTTCTCTTTTATGGGAAGACACTAATCTACTTGGCATTTAAGTTCATTGTTCCTACCAAGTGCTGGGAGCAAGGGCTTGGCCTCCCCCAGTGGCTGTGCTGTAGCGTACGAACCTCCGAGGAGCCACCACACGCAGGAAAGTATTTAATTTCTCTTGGGGGGGAAAAAAAAAAAGTCCTTTTTCTAAGAGATGTGTCTTTACATCGCATCCAGCCTCGTCACATTTGAGTTACAGGTGTAATGCCAAGGAGTTTCATGCCGTTGGCTAGAACCGAGCGTGCGGCTTGGAAGAGACAGAGCCTTGCCTGGAAGAGAGGAACAGCCATCAGCTTACGGGGGTGTACAGTCTCAGGACAGCAGTTTGGAGCAGCCTGTCAAAGGTGGGAAACACCCTGCACATCCCCTGTCCCCGCTGGGATGCGGTGACACACACACGGTGTGAGTATTGAGCCACACACCCGGTGCTGGCAGAATTCCCCACCTATTGCAGTGTCACCAGAGGGACACCTGTGTCAATGAAGGGAAGCTGGAAAGCCCAGTCTAGTGCCCTCAGGGCAGAGCAACCAGAGGAGACACCCAGAAGAGCCAGTAATGACTAAAAAGTGAAAGTCTTTCAGCCCCACAGGCTGCTACAGCCTGAGGGTGCTGCTGGAATCCCTCTTCTCCTGCCTTAGTTGGGGGCTTTCAAACAACCATGGGCTGCTTATTTGAAAATGTCACTCCTCCTTGTCAGTGTCACACAGCTGGCTCTTTGCGAAGGGCTCTATCAGCCTTGCTCACAGAAATAGTTCCTGCAAGCTGTCACAGTTTAAGATAGTTAGAATTACTTTTTTTTTTTTTTTTTTTACAAATAAAATAAACAAAATTTTTCTTTGGAGTGAAAAATACTCATGCCGGATCAAAGTACATTAAAACTACATTTCCTACAAAAAAGAAATGGGAAATAGGGCACTGCTTGAAGGACAGAAATGAACCCTGCCATATAATGTAAGTGTACTACTCTAGTATTATTTTAAATCTTTCAAATCTCATCCAAAAAAAGGAGAAAAAAATCAGTTCACTAGAAATGTGTATAAAATACAGTAGTATATAGGGCTTGTGGACAGTTAAAGTATAGAAACCATTTTCGGC